AAAATGGGAGCCAGTGGGGTGGCTGGAACCTCATTATAATCATACCGATCAATGTATTACACGGGTAGGTATTATTTTGCCCACAACTGTATTTAATCACACAATGGACACAATCAACTCACTAGTCACGCTGTCAGACTAACTAATATTAGACGTGAGCTAAAATCTCCACGGCCTTCTCTCAATCAAAATTTTGTTACTCATACCTTATTAAATAAATATGTTTTATTGCTAAAAGGTCAGTTCTCATTTTCCAACCATCTTTCAGGATCATTAAAGAGAACATTGGTACAAAATTTCAGCCAAATCGCTCTTTACAAAGTAATACATAATTCAATCTTCCAAAAGCTATTCAATTCTCGAGATCATTGTATTATAGTACATAGTCACTGTCACACTAAAATTGACCAAGGAATTAGAGATTCTATTGTAAAAAAATGCAACTTTGATACAAATCAAAATCACCCTGTACAACAATTGCAATTTCGTTGACAATATTGTTACATTGTAGCTTTAAGAGTCCTTCAACATGCCTGGCAATGAATTTTAAATACGAGTAAGTATGTGCGTTAATTACTCCACATAAACTTCTATACACGCACTGATAAATAAATGAAGATTTTGTATTCTATAAATAAACATAATAAAAGCAAAACAACCGATCAATCGTTCAAGCTATAATTTCATTATTTTTGGAAGATATTAGTAGCAGAACATGGTTATCTTACAGCTTTGCTTATGCTTATAGGTAGGTGTATTTCTAAGTGAGATCCAGAATAGATTCTCACATTCACGTTTGGATTTATATTGGTATTAGATACCTAATCATATTGTACATACTTATAAATATGTAATATATAGAAACTTCTCACGAAGGTTTGCTTCACAATAATAGGTAAGTTCAAAGATCTCATATTCTTACAGTTAAGATACTAACGCTATAGTCACAGCACAGGAAGCAATTAACAGTGGATTTTATACTTATAGTAGAAACTACACGAATGTGAATGACACATGACTCACCGCATTTGTAAGTATTCATTAATTTTAATAAGCAGTAAATAAGTATGAGCACTACTTATATGTTAAAGTTTTTTTAACAATAGGTACATATACCTACCTAACACCGAGGGTAACACGTAAAAATTTGTAATTGCAAGACAACAGAAATAGTAGATAATTTTATATGGAGAAGTAGGTATTATACTTTTAATTCATTATTCCGATTTAGACAAAAACATATTTTTTCTTATTGTTAACAAAGTTCCTCTCGTAAATTGCTCATTTTTACGTATAGGTAACAGTGTATAGCTACCTACTTCTCATCTAATACGCACCCTCTCCTGCTTATTCTCTTCTTTAAAAGAAAATGGCAATGAGTGTCCACAGAATGACATAATTTTGTGAATTAAATAAACTTGTAACAAATATAGCAAACGAGCTCCTAGGTCACTTCTTCCTCCGACACTCCGTTCTGCAGGTATTTACACCAAAAGTTTTAATGTTATTAGATGTGTGTCGTCCAGACGTTCCACTTGCCCTTTATGAGTACCTGTTTCGACACTTTGCTGTCAAGGTATTCGCTTCGACTTCTCCCATAGATATTTCTCATCCAGACGATTCATTTTTCCTTTGTGGGTACCTACAGATATTTGTGTTCCTCCGACAAACCGTTTTCGAGATATTCGCTTTTTAATATCGGAAATGGATATATTTCTTCAAAACATCTCAATCGTCCTTTGTGAGTACTCTCCTGTGATCCGCTCTTAAGAAATAAGGAATTATCACCGAACACGATAAGGGGTCGAGGAGGAGGAGTAGGTACGTTTGGTAGAAATTAATGCCTTTCATTGAGACGTTTCATTAGAGTACCATGAAGAATAAAGTCAGTGTCTCATCCCTACTCGTCAATCTTATGACGGTGGGAGAATTGCGGTGAAGAACGAGGATAGCGTTATCGAAGATTCAAATTACTAAGAGAGGCATTTAGTCCATAAGACCGGCCCCGTACGATATCTGGAGGTGCAAACGCAGTACGGTACGTCGGTTTACGGCACGTAAGAAGACTAGCGGGTTATGGGCAGATAATACGCACTAAATATATGTGCAATTAATAAACAGTGAATAGATGGGAATGCCTGATCTTTCGCCTTCGTGGCGACTACAGACGTTTTTTATGACATAGGGCAGCCCGCAAACGTGATGTCAAAAATGTGTGGGAAATTGCCATAAGTCTCTGGTAGAGATATCCCATGTTTTACCTTGTGGGGCGCGTTTGCAGAGATTTAGATATATCGGCTGATCTTAGAGAACATGTATGACCTAAGGGGAAATTCTGGAAAGTTGAATGTTATTGTTTAGATCTCGACCCTTTATTTAAGGTTCAATATTTTATATTTTAACACTTAATTAACATCACATTATTGAATGAACTGTACAAGAGAAATAAGACTGCTTTTATGTCTCATTACTTATTCATCAAACCTAACCTTTAAATTTTTAAACAAAGAAAAAAATGGGCCTAAATGATTGCGTATTAACACAGATATTTATGTCTTACTAACCTATCATAGCACATTTTATGTCTGTGATACACGGGCATAAAGTACCACTTTATGCTCTAGGGCATTAAGTATCACCATAGTAACTCATTTATAGTTTATACTTAATGACAAAACAAACAAATATTTGCAGGTCATTGAAAATTAGAAACGTCAATTATTAATTGTCAATACCTACTAAATCACAAGATTGGCCTTATTTCGTATAATTTCTGGAACTTTTTGCTCATTCACGATGAATTGAATTATTTAAATTACGTTTGACGTTTGGATGGTTTCAATCACATTAACAAATTCGAACAACGCATACTTGGTCAAACATAATGAATTGTTTTGTAAACGAATATTTACTTTGACGAAGAAAACTATTTGTAAGACATAAAATTTTGTATGTATACCACGGGCATAAACTGATGTTTATCCTCTCGAGCGACTAAAAAGCACTCAGAGCTTTTTAACTCATCGCCCTCGAGAACATAAACATCACTATTATGCCCTTAATACATAAATAACTATAACATTGACTTTATACACTATAGACAAACGGAGAAATAGGGGAAAATGGCAGCCGCTTACTGTAGCGAATATTTGTGTTAAATAGGCAACTTATGAGACACATTGCAATGCACGTACTAATAATGACGTCGAATGGGACGTCATAATACATATGAACGCAAGCAAGTTTATGACGTTTCATTTTTGATTCTGCACATTTTTGTTTGATTTACTCCTGAGTCCTGATAGTATTAGAGAGGCAATTTACAAAATTTAAAGTTGTTCTTAGCAACAATTTACAAAATATGGCCGATGCACAACATAGGAAAGTACGGCGCACTTCTTCATAAGTATATATATTTTTTTGAAGTGGTCATTCTGAAAATGTTACAGCTCCATTTGTGTTGGCATTTTCTAAGTCTACACCGTTTGTCTATAGTTTGTAAAGTCAATGGTTTTAATCTTTGATTGACCTTAATCATCGTTTGTGAAACACAGCATAAGTTGATTTTATTATACTATGCGATCAAAAATGAGTTGCTGTCGAGTCACATTTGGAATTTTTGTTTACATGGGAAATCGTACTTAATTTGAACTTCCAAAGGCGACTTGACCGCCACCATTGAATAAGTGCTTATTCAATGCCGCCACTCATTTTTTCCCCGTTATATATTGCCGTGGCCCTTCATTCGGTCGCAGAAAAAATAAATGCTGAGAGTTAAAAATAACTGCTGTGTGCAATTGCATGAATTCTTTACACACCGCTCTAATAACACATACCTATAGCTAGCTCAATTTTACAAGAATTAACCCCTGTAACAAAAACCCTCATTTTCCTACAAACTTTGTTTTTAATAACTAAAGAAAAATCTTGATTTCTGGGTCTAGCTGATGGGGTTCTGAAATGCTGGAAAGTCTCAACACTAACTGAACCTAAAGCTGTTATTCTGGAAATCCGTAATTCAAATGATGACTTGAACTCGAAATAACCAACATTAACTCGACGCAAGCCAAATTTTCAGTGTACAATAAAACACAAACTTCATCTGGTTTCTCTTTATTTTTTCTGGAATTAAAATTGACACATAATTTTCAGAGATCGGATAGAACCTATAATCTAATTTTTATTACACCACACGCATAATAACACACTACCACATACATAAATAAAATAAACATTTTTACAAAACAATCAAATAAATTGAGCGCTTTATTAAAACATTTTCCCGGTCGAATACAGAGAAAGATAAGTCGCAAAACTCGTCGCAAAAGTACTCACTACTTGCAATAATCCACGGTTTTGATCTGATACCGCGCCTGTACAGATGCTATAAGCGACGAAAACAACACTTTTCACAGAATGATTTTAACGTAAACGCACAACCATGTACACAAACTTTCTTCTTTCTTGTCAGCCGCATTGGTTCCACGACGATTGTCATAGTTGAAAAATGGCAGCTTGGGTACAAACTTTAACATTGACGAAAACTTCTCTTTTGACTTGTAAGTTGTAACTGCGCGCGTGCTCACTGACTCAGTACAGTAATGGGAAAACTATATCTTCCTTAATTTGAACTGACGAACCGCAAAAACTTCAAAACATCGGCTGACAGCCGCGAAAATCATATTTGAAAATTTAAAGCAACTGACTGTTACGTACGCTAATGGCGGTTTGCACCGACAAATTTAAGCGAAACTTAGCTTAAGCGTAGCTCGGCTTAAATTTGTCGGTGCAAACGGGTATTAGTCAAATAATCCGAAAACCGCCTCGTTAGATCGGTGCGTCAACTTTTTAACTTCTCATAGAAACATATTGTAATCTAGTGCTAAAGTCTCCTCATACCAGACACAGAGGTCTATGAAAACAGGAAAACATAATAAGATTTAAATTTAAAAAAAGATTTAACCACAAACTAATGCCATATGAGTGGTAAAACGTGCTCCTTAATTTGTATTTCGTATATTTATATAAAACTATTAATAAACAAAGGAATTATAGGTATAACAATAACATGTAGGTATACGGTATACCTATTATATAAGGCCTAAAATATAATATAGTGGAAATGAAACCGAATGCCCATGCTCTGAAACAAAAAATGTCTATAGGTATCTACTGATTTTGCAAATCATCTTTATCCATTTACCTTTAATATATTTAGCTTTGCTCCTCGATTTCACAGAGTCTTCTCTCTAATAATATCTCGTTCAATGAATGTTTGCATAAATATTTGCCATTTACAAATAATACAGGTATCTCATACCTGTACAAATGCAACCATCTTATGTTTTCTTTTTTCGTTATATCAACCATTTGCAATTGGCAACGATGTAAATACGGTAGTAATTTTAGTTTCACCTCATCACATAAGGAGCATGGGTCTTTTGTATAAAGTGTCACTACAGGTAGTTTATTTTTGGTGTCCTCTTTTCTGGAAATATGAGAAAAACACATATTGTATGCAGTCACTGACACATTTGGTGACTCTTGGTCCTCGAAATACCTCAACTGTAGTAAGAAAACCAACTTGCATGACCAGTTACCTGCAGCTTCAGACATTTCTGAATAAATTAAATAAAGTACTTAATTGTATCACATTACTTACCTCCTTGAACAATATCACTAGTCTGCTAGTTATCCTGATACAGTTGATGTATTCGAGGCCAATTAATTTTGTCAGTGACTGTGCATGTAAACGTAACAAACATTATAAACTTGTGTTGTTTTGTGTTAGTGATCTGTAAAATAGTTTAAATTGTGTGTTATGGTGTTTTCTACAGTTTCCCGATAGTGTTTTAAACGGTTTGTGTGTATTGATAGTGTAAGTGTACGTTCGTTGTATTTTGTTCTCGTGTGGTGTGATTGTTTAGTTTTGTAGTTGTGTTGTACAGTTGTCGTGTTCGTTTTCAGGAACGATGTGCCGTTGCTTTTTGTTATTCTGGAACTAATGCATCTACAAACTGCAACAGCTAACAATATATTACTTTTTACGTGTTTTATTTTTCAATTAATCACAATTGGCAAAACTGTAAACCAAAATGGAAATAATTGTTGTAGAGTTTTTAACAGCAAATAATTTAAAAACTGATGAAAATTGATTTTACAGTTTTGGCAATACAAATGCAGATGTTTTTAAAGAACGATCCATTGTTTACTTCCGAGATGGTAAGGTACTATTTTAGGCACAGGAATAATGAGGTTTGGTAGTTGTGAAACAATAAAAAAATTTAAAATTCAGTGCAATATCTGCCAACCAAATTTCATTCTGGTACTTATCTGTTAAAACTCCAGAGATATTTACTTGGCCCCACACTTTTGCTCAAATCTGTATATGAAACATGTAGAGTATTTCACTTCACAATAGTTTGTTTACTTCTGAAAATCGCTATGACCCTATTGATGAAATAGTGACATGTAGTCAGTTTCACCCCCTTCCCAACATGGACTTTCCTACACCTTGTTCCTGCAGTAATAGTAATGGTGTGGTTACCCCTAGGGTTACCCTATACACTTGAGAATGTGATAATCTGCAAAAGTGAATCAGTAGGGAACATAATGAAAATATCTATCAATATTAATTCTATGTGAAGCAAAAGAGCTTTATGCAATTAAAATAATTACACCATTATATATGTAAAAATTGTTTATATCAAATTGACATCATTAAAAACAGGTGTAAAAATAGTTTTAAAATATGCAATATATGTACACATACTTAAAATACACAACCAGCCTTAAATTTCACTTACAGCTTCTCAATCATAATAGACGAAGCTCCACCACCTCCGTTACAAATTGCAGCAACACCTTTCTGACCCGGTTTAAGGGCATGTACCAAATGTGTTACAATTCTTGCACCAGACATTCCAATAGGATGTCCCAAACTAACAGCTCCTCCGTGCATGTTCACTTTAGAGGGATCGATATCGAGCAGTTGCTGACAGGCGACTGCAACGACACTGAAAGCCTCATTTATCTCCCACATTGCAACATCATCCTTTTTAACACCTGTTCTTTGAAGTAAATCCTTAATTGCGCCTACTGGTGCTATAGGAAAATCAATAGGATCTATTTCGGCATCTCTAAAATCAACAATTCTAGCCAATGGTTTGGCATTTAATCTTTTGGCAGCTGCAGCAGTTGTAATAATTAAGGCTGAGGCGCCATCATTCAGTGTGGAGGCATTACCAGCAGTTACAGTGCCGTTTTCCTTCTGAAATACGGTATTCAATTTATCAAATTTGTTAAAATCGACTCTAGTGTATTCTTCGTCTTGCGCAAAAATCTTGTCTGGTTGGCCTCTCCGTTGTGGAACAGGTACTGGCACTACTTCACTGGCAAAGACATTGGCGGCATGTGCTGCCTCACTTCGTTTGTAACTCGAAATTGCATATTCGTCTTGCTGTTTACGTGTAATGCCCAATTTCTTTGCAGTGTTCTCTGCACAATTTCCCATATGAAATTTGTTGTAAACATCTGTTAGGCCATCAGAAACAATGCCATCTATCAAAGTACACCCACCATATGGCGTTTGGCCACGTTTCATATAATAAGGCACATTTGACATGGATTCCATTCCTCCTGCTAGAATGCATTCTTGATGTCCAGCCTGCAAGCTTTGAGCAGCGAGCATTACAGATTTCATACCAGAAGCACAAACTTTATTGACTGTTGTACAAATGGTGGACTTTGGTAGTCCCGCAAAGATAGTTGCTTGTCGTGCAGGTGCCTGTCCAACGCCTCCTTGACATACATTGCCGAAATAGACTTCTTGAATTTCTTCTTTTGGTATACCTGCTTGCTCAACCGCACTTTTTACAGCGACAGCTCCTAACTGAGGGGCAGACAATGAAGATAGTGATCCCAAGAATGATCCGATTGGGGTGCGAGTTGCTGATATGATAACCACATCGTGTAGGTGCGATTTTGAGCTATATGCACGTTTATTATGTGCGAATATCTAAAAGTTAAAGGTAAAACAAAAGAAAGTTCTCTCAACACTCTTATTACCTTAGTAATATGCTTGGAATACATTTTACTTAATGCGCACCTAGCAACAGTAGTTACAAAAGTGGGTTGGTTAAAGATATTTTAAAATATTTACATAATTTTATTGTGAACTTTGCCCAAATTCCTTATCTTGTTTAATTATTTAAAATTAATGCCTGCGCCTGGGGGTTGGAATTAAAACACATGGAGTTTTACAATGTTGCCAAATGTCATAAATTACAGGCGCACAAAAGTTATAGGCAACTCGTTAAACTTTCAGGTTTGTAGGGACGACGTTCTTTGTTGTTTTGGTACTGAACAACTTCAATAGATGGACACATCCTAAATGTCTAACCGTTGGATTCATAATTTGAAAAAAAGTGTACCTACTTTAATATTTTCTCATTTCGTTTTGGGCGCGCGATCGTCAAGTTCCACTATATTGACCAAAGCTGAGCTTTTTTCTATGTGGTCATGGTTATCATGGTCTTCCGTAGCACGTATTTATCAAACTTCGGGAGTTGATGTTGACTGCGTGGTCTGTGGCTGGATGTGGATCTCTAGTTTGAAATGCAAGTAAAGGTTGATTCTCACTTAACATACCGTTTCCATACCATATCCTTTCCAGCTTGAGTATGCTACATGCATCTGGTCTCCTCAAACTCTCAAATACTCGGACATGATCGAAAAAGTGCAAAAAAAGTTCATCCGAGTAATGTTTTTTAGGTCAACCCAAAATTATCCACATTTGATCTCTTACGGTACCCAGCTTAATTACTTAAATAGTACTTTCGGCTTAAATATAACGAGGTTAGAAACCCGACGGTACATTGCCTCCACAATTTTTGTCTTCAAAATTTTACACAATTTGTTAAACTCTTCCGAATTACTTCAAGAAACTAAGCTTAAGGTACCATTTGTTAAGCTAAGGCAAAATAATACTATTTTTGCAGTTAACAACACAACTTCCCCACTTATTAAGATCTTGATCACTTTAAATAAGTTGTCCTCAGTTAATGATATCGACTTTTTTCACGATCCCCTAAATTCAATAATAAATAAAATTAGATCTTAAGTCCTAATATTTGTTCAGAGCCCCAGTGCCATGCAATTGGAATTTTTATTCTGTATGGTTTCTGGTTAAACAAATAAATAAATAACCATTCCGTAAATTATTATACCTAGGAAATTGACCTTTAAGTGATATGTCCGTAAGACATTCAGTCGCGCGCTAATACACATTCGCCTTCCATATGTGAACGGAAAGGAGAATGTGTATTAGCGCGCGGCTGAATGTCTTACGCACATATCACTTAAAGGTCAATTTCATAGGTATAATAATTTACGGAATGGTTATGGAAAGGATATGATATGGAAACGTTATGTATAGTGAGAATCAACCTTAAAGCAACTAACTTCGCTTAAATATATCTGCCACAACAACACAGGCAACGATGTATGTACAAAGCTTAGTTCTTTTCTTAATTTGAAATATACCCTTTACCTAACATGCAATTGGTCAATGGTCATCCTGTGCAAGACAATGTGTTATAAGTTCCTCCTTCAGTAGTGAATAATTTAAACAAAAGGTGGTCAAACAAAATTAATATGAAAGAAAACTAACATAATGTGATAAAAATAAATTATATTTAAAATCGTTCATCTCGTTCACTTTAACAATTCCAAAACGAACTATTTTCAATGAATACATAATACACACGATTTTCTCACTGTGCCACGGCCGCATTAGCTGCTATACTTGGATTATTAACAACTTCTCCCAAACTTTCCAGCAACTCTTTTCTGTAATCATCAAAGTCACCATCAACTTCGTTAATTGTTTGATCTTCAATAATAAACAACGTACACTCAGTCTCTCTAATAAGTCTTTCATCGTGAGATACAATTATGACACCACCTTTGTAGTCATTAATTGCGTCCGCCAGTGCATCGATCGATTCAATGTCGAGATTGTTGGTAGGTTCATCGAGAATAACCACATCTGGAGCATTCAAACACAATTCCGCCAAGGCCACTCTTGCTTTTTGACCGCCAGATAGATCTTTCATTTTAATTGTATGAGCATGACTAGACAAACCGAAGGTCCCGAGCTGTTTTCGCGCCTTCTCGTACGGGAGATCAAACAACCGCATTAGATATTCTGAGGGAGTCTCTTCGGCCGTTAAATGTTCTCCAGAATGTTGATCAAATTTACCAATACGCAATCTATGATTTTTTTTCACTTCACCTTGGAGGGGTTGAAGATCGCTCGTCAGTAGATTAAGGAAAGTAGACTTTCCGACACCGTTTGGTCCAACAATTGCGACACGACTACTGAGGTCAATTCCGAAATCTGTACTTTTAAACAGCGGTTTTTGTCCAGCATATGCAAATGTTACATTGTGCAGACCTAAAATAGGTGGTTGCAGAGGAGGTGGATCAGGGAAGGAAAATTTGACTATGTAATCGCGCGGTTTTTGCAGTAATTCCGCAATTTGATTGTCATCCTCTTGCTTTTGTAATTTTGTCCTATTTTTCTCTTGTTTACGGGTGAGAGCTTCTTTTTGCTTCTTTTCAGCCTGCTTCTTGGAAGATCCGTGAGACTTCAATTCCTTAATTCTCTTCTCCTGTTTCTCATAATCTTTTATCATTTCTTTTCGTTTTTGGACAAACATTTTCTTAAACATCGAATAATTACCCTTGTAGTAGTATAATTTTTGTTGGTCTAAATGGATAATTTCATTGCAGACATTGTCCAAAAATGACTGGTCATGGGATACGATTAACAAAGTTTTCTTCCAGTTCTGTAAAAAAATATTGCAATAAATATAAAATTTCAAGGAAATACTTAATATGTTGCTGTCATTTGGGCAATGTTTTTTCACTTTCCTATGGAAAATTCATATTACATGATTTTGTTGTTTGTAAACGGGGAATAAAGTAGAATTAAACAAGTATAAATTGTGTACAACTGTATTGATACAGTCCATTTTTTTAAATTCAAAACATCTTATTAATAATTGGGGTATAAGATGGTAGCCCAGGTGGTAGCATGCTATATTTATCTGTGTTTACCTCAATGTTTACCTTCTTGGTAGATGACGAGGTAGATGATTAATGGGGAAAGGATTCTTTACACATAAACATTGAAAGGCCGCCTAGGTAGCATACATTCAAAATTTATGCTATACAGGCTGATTCAAATTTGAGGGCCACATGGGGATCTCTGAAACTGTAAGAGATAGGTAGGTATATAGTTGAAATTTGGCAAAGTTGCGTATTTTGATGTTTAACAAAATGCGGTTTTGAAACCGAAAAATTTCCGACGACTGTCGGAGATATCCGGATAAAACCGAAATTTTGCAAAATCGTTTTTATTTTTTACAGAAGTTATTTAAAAAGATATTTCAAAATAAATAACATGTTATTATGACAACTTTGTTTCCTCTACAAGATGCTAGTTTTAAATTGTAAGTCTGAGGTTTTGCCACTGATTAAGCATCATCAACTTTAGACACAGAATAGGAAATATTTGTTGTTTTTTTTAAAGAGAGCTGTGACGCTACTTTTTGGTACCTACTAGTAGTCTAGCCGGATATGCGAATAAAGAAGAAAAACGTAGTATTCATGGTAACAAAGTAGGTACTTAATGCAGAAACAAATGTAATTTTGTGAAGAAGTTTCTACTCATGGAATTTCCAGTTTAAAAAGTTTGTGTTTATCAAGAATGAAGAAACAAGTTTAAAAAGTCATTATGCAAACATAAATGACGAGAGCGTATTTTCCTCTTAATAATATTAATGCTAGGACCAGGAAACAATACCGAGATCCTTACCCCATTCTCTTTCAAATGAGCCACCCTCGGAGCCGCCTACCGTCGAAGTCTATAGTTTAATGAAAAACAGTGGAGCATATACAAATACATACAAATTTTGAAATGGGCATTAGTTTTACTTTTACTCGAAGTGTCTATATATAGAACTTTTATAAATGCCTTCGTAAATAGCATTGCGCATTGTCTACATTAGAAATTTCATTGAATACCTTCATAAATAAAACATACAGCATGCGTCAACAGTAATTTTGAAACCGGTATTAGTTTTTGTTTCATTCAAGGTGCCTACATATGATATTTCGTTTAACTGCTTTCATAAATAACAAAGTTGGCATTGCGCATGCGCAAAACCAAATTTTGCAACTGGTGTTAGATTTGTCTTTATGCTAAATGCCTAACAACATTTTGAAAACGTCGTTTTTTCTTATATTCGTAGTGTTTACATCGAGGTTTACATATAAAGTTTCATTTACATATCTTCATAAATAAAAAAGTTAGCATTGCACATGCGTTAATCCAAATTTTTAACACTGCGCATGCGCAAAACCAAAAAATATCTGTATGCACGGAATCCTTGGACCAAGCCCTTTCAAATCAGCCCTATATCGCCCAAATCGGTTCAGTGGTGTAGAAGGAGTACGTGTGACGGACGGACGGACGACAAAGTGCAACTAGTAGTGATTTTTCACTTTGAGGAAAATACGCTAATAATTGTTGTGATACAGGAAAAGTCTTTTCCGAGCAGTCATAAATTCAAGTATTTTTTGTCTTCAAGCCAGTTTTGGCAGATTATAAATGAGTTGTTTTTTTAGAAGAATCTGTCAGTTTTGTGTTAAACTGTTAAAGTGAGTCTTTTGTCAATCATCGTATATTTTTGTACTGGCCAGTTTATTTGGATTATTATTAACAGAACTGTGAGTACCGTTTGAGATCTCTTAAATTGTTTTTCGATCGGCCGTTTTGCGAACGGGGTGTGTTGTATTCAAAAGGCACTGTTGGCCTTAAATTTTTCTTACAGAACCGTTTCGTTTTCTTTTTATGATACGTGTTAGAATAAATTCTTGTACCTAAGTTCTTTTTATCAATTAATTATGTGCCCAGGTAGAATTTTATATTTTTTGTCAGATTTTTCTAATTTTTTTATGCGAATGTATAATTTACGGAATTTGATTGAGATCATCAGCTCTTTCAAATTTACAAGAGTGACAACATACCATTGCACACTTGCTATATTAACTCTTTTTGTTGAAACCTTTCATTAGAGCACCATGAAGGATAAAATCCGAGATAAAATTAATCTCCCTCAAACCCTCAATTTTGATAAGGGGTAAGGGAGTTTGGTGGTAGTTGCTACAAAACAGTTCCATGCGCTAAGACCTTCCATTAGAATACCATGACAGATAACGCGAATGTTAACCCCTCCACCCTTTCAAAAGTTTCACTTGGCATGTATGTAAAATTTGAGACAAGTTGGTTGTGACATGTAAAAGTTATGCATGTTTTACTTTCAGAGGCAGCACCCCAGGAAATAAATCAAGTGGAGAAGCCCCTTTTAAGATAACAAAATTTAAGAGCCATCTGGTACACCTTCATGGTATAGGCTATCTATTGCAAAAAATTCCGAGGATTCTCGGACAATGGGGGTTTACAGTATAGTTGAATTCCGCAGTTCTAATTTAATAAGTGTGTACCTGAAACCATAAAATATTTTTTTGGACAGTAAAAGTTTATTTACAAATAGAGGCTGATTAGCAAAAAAATAATGAACATGTGCGGTTTTAAAGATTTATTCAAAACGATATGATTGTGGCGGGTCTGTGACGTAATAAGCCCGACCAATCAGCTCCTAGAACCATTCAGATGACATAACGACTTGGCAATATTGCAGGAGAATGGCATTTATAACTTGTGTCATCTGTCACAGGCACTTGTCACTTTCGTGCTAGATGCAGTTAAACATCCCTCTCAAAACTTCAAATGTGACAAACGTCAGACCCTCGCGTAAGGTTGCCAGCTCACTTCTACGTGATTGGTTGCAGGTTTGTGACGTATTTAGTCTGAAGCGTTTCAAATTCGGCCTAAAAACACAGCTTTTCAATAATTTATTTTGGGTTTATTTTACTCGCAAATAAAAATTGAGGACACACGGGTCTTTTTATTTTTAATGTACTTTGTGGATCAGAAATAAAAACTGAAGGCGGGATGACCCCATTCAAAACTGCAGAAGTGGATCCCGATAGACAAACAGACAAAACGCAAACTATAGCATTTTTTTTAATTAAATAACGCGTTAAAAAGAAAATGGCAGCAATCTGCAGTTCAAAGAAAAATGCGTGTATAGACGATTTGTCCTTTGGTACGCCCCTAGATCATTAGCAAAAGATGCAATTTTCATTTTCTTGTTGGTAAAGTTGCTGTAAAATAGAACTTGCCAGCAATCCACTATCTTTGATAATTTGTTGGGTATGCCCGTGAAAGTCTTGTTGGGAAAAGTTCCTACAGTCCTTAGCGAGAAGGTACTACAAGTAAAAATCAGACAACAGATTCCGAGCAACCTACTGTGTTCTTACAAAATGGTATGAAAACTCTGGCAGTAATTTCATGAAATCCTGCGCAAGCACGCATTTAAACCGTGACGTCGCTACTTCATAATGGCTTTGATTGTTGTTTTCACATAGGTCTAATTATTCACGTTACTTTACTTCTGCATCACTTGTAGTATTTTGTAATTATCTTCATCATTACCACACGAATGAATATGTCATACAGCAGTTTGTAATCACAAACCAAAATAGGTCTACCAATTTGATAACTATTTTACACCACTGCCTGTGAACTTATTTTATAACGTATAGTTGTAACGTGACATTTTCTTCCTCAAAGGTAGTAGAGGCTCAAATGCAACAATGCACCACAGTCCAAACCGTAGCTGTAAGTTATAAAATACCTCATTCTCAGTTGTAATTATAAATTATATAATTTGCAGTCACCTCATTAGTTTCAAAATTAGTGTAATTGTCACTTACTGGAAATTATACAATAATTTCTTAAGTGTCCTATCGATAATAAAGTGCAAAAGTAAAAAAAAATATTTACCTGCAAATAATTATCAAGCCAAATAACAGCATTCAAATCCAAATGATTGGTCGGTTCATCAAGAAGTAGAAGAGTTGGTTCCATGTACAAAGCTCGTGCCAACGATACTCTCATACGCCAACCACCGGAAAAATGTTTCGTCGCTCGATTCTGCATTTCCTTGGTAAATCCCAGACCGGCAAGAATCCGACGCGCTTTAGGTTCAGCAGAATCCGCATTAAGAGCTTTTAATTCGGCATAAACGTCGTTAAGACGATCTTGAACTTCCAGATCGCCAGAATGAATGGCATTCTCCAAATTCTTGCACTCTTCTTGTAGCGAAATTAACTTCGTATCCGCCCTGATTACCGATTCGACGGCAGTGTAATCATCGGCGACAACCTCCTGCTCGCAATAAAGTATATCAATATTAGGGGGGATAGCGAATGCTCGTTGGGAGATATGCCTCAACAAGGTTGTCTTGCCATGGCCATTAGGTCCGACAAGCCCGTAGTGTCTTCCATTAGCTATTAATAAACTAGCATTCACGAACAACTCATTACCTTTTGCAGATATGCTAAAATTGTCAATCTTAATATCCACGGCGTTTTCAAGTGCTGCTTTCTGTCCTGCAGAACGTTGCGCTTGCGAAACTGTGAAATTAGACTCTAAATCGGAATGACCTAATCCCCCCTTCTTTAACATTGTTTCCACCTGTTTTTCATACTCCTGTTGTTTTTTAAGTTTCTTTTTTTCTTTATGAGTTAGTTTCTTGCTGATTCCTTCATCTTCTACAGAGGGTGCATCGTTTGAATTAGCAATTTCCGCTACATTATCTTCAGCATCATTAGCATCGCTTTCTGTTGTAGGTTTGGCTGTGGATTTGCTTTTTTTATCTTTTACTTCAACCTCATTAAATGCTTCTGATAATTCTTCATCACTATTTGCTTTTTTGCTTTTATTTTTCTTATTCTTTTTCTGCACTGGTTTTGATGTGATTTCAGAATCTGACTCGCCTTTCAAATCGACGTCGCTTGCATCATCATCGTTGATAAAATTTCCTTGATTTTGACTTTTCTTCGTAGCGGCCTTGTGTGGAATTTCATCAGGAATATCGTTTTCATCCTCATCGCTTAAGTCCTCAGTCACCTTAGCTTTATCTTTCTTCTTATTAGGCTTACTTTTGACAGGCTCTGGGACTGACGAGTCTTCTTCATCCATCAAACTTTCTAAAACTTTGCCCTTTAACTTCGCCTTGTTTTTACTTTTCTTATTAGTAATGGGACCTTCATCATCGGAAACGTCATTGACATCTAACTCAAAGTTTTTATCATCATCATCACCCCAGTCATCTTTATTTTTGGATTTGCCCTTTTTACCTTTCCCAGTTTTGGAGACTGAATTGGTTTTTGCAACATCGTTTACTTTCACAGGTTTTAGATCATCTTCGTCAATATTTAGGTTTTTCTTATTTCCACGCTTTGAAGACATTCTTATTGGGGCACTGATTTAAAATGGCACAAACCTAAACAGAAAGGCATATGGTTAGCACGTGAACTTGAAAGACGGATTCAAATGACAGTTTAAGGTTATGTTTTTTTGACAAGCTGTGTCTAATAACCGCGTAACGGGAGTACAATTAAAATAACATTATTTTCGATGGAATGTACGCTGATGGTTTTACATACTCCCATGTATTTATGATTGCATAAAAGTTAGGATGTGGGCTACACGATAGTTTTTGATATGGATGACCATCCTTTAACTTTAATAAAATATTCTACTAATTCTGGGTTTCAGACCATAATTGCGTAAAGCGAGATTCACATCTAAGCAACTTGAGGCTGCATCAAATTGCTGCATCTTTTGAAGCAGCAATAGTAAGTTGCTTTACCGATTCACACCTGTGCATCAACAACTCGGTCACCGATTTTTCTACAATGGGATTTTTTTTCACCAACATACAGGTGTATGGTTGGCATTCCATATAAAATTATTCAAACCTTACGCTGACCGTTTTTAAATTATATGGATGGAATGGCGTTTGCTTGCAATTCATGTTGAAAGAATCAAACAGTAGTATCAATTATGTGTAACGTTAAGAAACTAGAAAGCATCCATCACAATGAATAAATTCTTTATTCATTGATCCATCACTACGAGTAAAACCTACTCTTATATATATGGTAAAATCCATCATAACAAACAGTGGTACCAATTTAGCTGTAAACCATTGGTATTACAAATTCTCCTTGAAAAAGCACTGAAATTGAAATTAACACATGTTTTAAGTGCTTGCAACTTGATGCAAAACAAAAAATGCCTGAACAGTGGAGCAATGTGAACGCAAAAGATGCATGCAATGTGATGCCGCATCTCGGTTGCAGCATCAATTTGCTTAGATGTGAATCCCGCTTTATTTCCTAGGCTTATTTCATATTTCAGTGTTGTGTGCAAATCCATAAAGATCAATAGATTGAAAATTGTTATTCCTTATTTCTTAAGCCCGTTTGTAACGATCACTTATTTAGTCAATTTTTAAATAATTTTTTTAGGAACAAAAAAATTGAACATTTCATACATCAACTTTGATCAATTTTTTGGTAGTTATTGCTCCATGTCAAGCGGCCTTAAACCGGTGCTATTTTTCTTGCATGAATCGCGCTAGGGATAAATCTAGTTGTTTTTGTGTTACCAACCTAGTAAAATACAGCGGCGGCAACTACTATGATGCTGAGAGACGCACTCATTACTTGTTTTTATTAATCTTATTTATTCTTGTAATTTTCATGTTTCTTCAAGCAATCAAAATTTAATTTTTATTGGAGGTTAGCAACTTTGTTGACAAGTCCATATTTTTCTTCTGTTGGCAGACATGTGGCAATTGAAATAGAATTGCACCATGTCAAATACCATGCAATGCTATTGCATGCAAGGATTTGACCTTGCAATTTCTTTCTGCAAGTTCTTGCGCGTAGTATTGCTCCATGTCAAGCGGCTAAGATTTTAGGTAGCGCCTTGAAGCGCTTCGTCTGGTGAACGCGCCCAGTGTATATGTTCTCTTCTCCCGGCAGCGGTCATTTGGCCACTATACCAGTGCACTTATAATAGTTGTTAATGTGGATAGTTGGAGTTGGAAATAGTTTAACACTGTGACTATTGTGATTTACGAAACCAGTAAAAATATTACAATAAAATAAATTAATCTTTAATTTGAACACCCGATTTACTTAACTTTTTAAATTTACAATACTAAGAAATATAACCTATAAATCGTATATATTTTTATAATGAATATCGAAGAAAATAGACTACAAACATTTACTGATTGGCCTTCAGATGCTGTAGTGAGTCCAATTAGAATAGCAAAAGCGGGGTTTTATTCGCTGCAACAAAACTTGACAGTGAAGTGCTTTTGTTGTGAACTAGAAATATCGGAGTGGAACTATGGAGACCAAGTCATGGCAAGACATCGGGAACTAAGCCCGGCGTGTGCTTTTATTTTGGACTCCTCCGCTTCAGGAAATGTACCTAATATATCGCACTCAATCCATGACAGTATTCTTTCAGAAGATGTAGTGGACTCTCCACATTCCACTCATTCTCTTAGACATGAAACAGTTCGCTTGCAAAGCTTTGAGAACTGGCCCGTTCCTCACATAGTTAGTCCAGAAAGTTTAGCAAAAGCGGGATTTTACTACTTAAAACAGCGAGATAGAACTAAATGTGCATTTTGCAATGGAATTGTTGTTGCGTGGGAGGTCGGCGACGATCCGGACTATGAACATAAACGCCATTTCCCTAGTTGTTCATTCGTACAACAAGTAATTACTCCACGTTTGGAGCTTCAAAACGAATCACAATACGATAATACAAATCCGTCTTTTTCAAACGTGAACGTTGTGAACGAATCAAATTTGTACGAGGTGGGGGTGATGCAACACAGAGGTCCAAAGAAAAGTAAATTTGCGACGTTAGAATCGAGGATGCGTACATTTTCAATGTGGCCTGAAGAACTTATTCAGACACCTGATTCTTTGTCTCAGGCTGGTTTTTATTACGAAGGCTCTGGTGATCAGGTGCGCTGTTTTCATTGTGATGGGGGCTTGAGGCATTGGGATCCGCAAGATGATCCATGGACTGAACATGCACGGTGGTTTCCTAAATGTGGATATGTGGTGCTGGTGAAAGGGCAGGAATTTATTACCGCTTGCACCAGTAACAATTCATCAAATACGGTACGTACTCGCACCTATCTAAATCTCGATCTAAATACTCAAATTTTCAATGTCTACCTATGCAACCATTGTTTGCCTGTAATTGATAGTAGCAAATTGCTAACACTCCAAAGGCTAACACTATAAAGGCAATAAAAAAAAAAAATTTAAAAAATTGAACATTTTGATGAGTAGGTATAAGACAAGGTATAAGTAGGATCTTACATTAAGTGAAAGCCTCGGTGAAAGTAGAATATTCAGAAACCTCGCCTGAAACACAAGCTGTAAAAATGTAAATTCCCAAATATATATTTAATAGCCAACCCGATGTGAATAAATGAAACAATGTTTAGTCTTGGTTATTTATAGACTCTTCAGGCTGCACTGTGTGAATTTGCACCCACCTTGGCACCCGCTCACTGAGAATTGATATGTGCACAACTGTTCTACCCTGGCTCATGAGATGTTATACAGGGTGGGTTATTAGTGTGTGGGTGGAAGATTGTGGTTTATTAACGCACATATTTAAAATTCATGGTCAGGACAATGCACCCTCTGTATATTGTTACAGATTTCGATTCCTTGGTCAATTTTAGTGTAACTATGTATTACACACGATATCTAAAATGAGTCATTTAGCCGTATTCCGTCATTTTTTCAATAAGTAGATGTCCAGTAAAAATTGAATACCTATCGCAGTTATCATAAAACTTAGAAGGCCATGACTTTTGTGTAACTAATCACGAAATGTACTAACATACACCGAACGGGTAAAGTTATACTTTTTTTGTGTTAAAAGAAATCACTCCATCAATTTTCAAAATTTCAGTCAAAGTTAACTTGATTTTTGCTATTCCATTTTATTTTGATTTAATGTTTTCCAATATGGATTTTCATGGCATACCTCTTGGTATACTATTCAAATTGATTTATTTAAGCTCACGTATTGGTTTAATCGTTTAAATGCAAAATTTATTATTTTATCTTTTAAAATTAGCTATGAAATACATGAAAAAGTGTTTGTTTTGTTTTGTTTATAATTTTTAACAGCCTACTAAGTACTAAGAGCTCGACTAAGAGGCTTTGAAAACCGAAAAACACTGAATTATTAGAAATTGTTAAATTACAAAAAAAGTATGTAAAAGACGAGGTAAAAGATAAATACCGACATGCGAGCCGACATGCTTATACATATCGTTAGAAAGGTAATAAAATCGTACATTTTATGCAATAAAAAAAACTCTGTAGTTCCATTTAAAAACATCAAGTTGCCTTTGATTGAAATTTTGAAAATTGATGGAGTGATTTCTTTTAACACAAAAAAAGTATAACTTTACTCCTCGCTTTACTCGTGCGTTGTATGGTAGTACACTTGGTAGTACATTTCATGATTAGTAACACTGTAAATTAAAAGTAATGTTCCCACAGGAAAATTCATAAATGAATGATCGAGTGAATGATAATATGTTTAATACTTACAAGGTTTGATAATAGTCAAAAGTGTTGTCCATCGGTATCTCTGCCTGTCTTTATCGTAGGGTGTGTATTCAACTTTTACATATTTAGGTCAAATAGGTATCAAACGGAAGCTTATATTGGAAGGTAACCATACTCTCCAAGGGCGTAATCACTGTGTGTGCAATTTTATGCAATAAGGGTGGAGCTCGGGGTGGAGAGTGTGTGAGCATTCAAGATGAAACGAAACACTTCATGAAATGCAAGAATTTGCTCACAATGTATTGTACAGGGCCGGGCGAGGTACAGGGTGTTCTAAAGTGCTCAGTTTTCGATGTTTTTCGGGGATATTTTGAGAACTAAAAGAGATAGAGTGATGCAGTTTGTACTTCTAGAATAAATTAACAAATTCTATTCTACTTGATGCAATATTTAGAAAGCATGAAATTTAGCATACCGTGTGCTGTCAGGATGCGCTTTGTCTGTTGTGTTACACGGATAGATCAACGCACAAAAGTAAGTGTTCACAACCTCGTTAAAAACGAAACATTGAACAATGAACAATAATATTCATTTTTTATGTTGTTACATAGGAAATTGATCGATCTTTTCAAATACCTTAAAAAAAAGAGGCATTTGCATTTGAAAAACAAAAGTTGCATCAATTTCCAATTAGACCGGAAGTTCCAATATGCGATTGGATAGATCGTAATGTCACATATAAAATTATATTTGGGAAATGTTTCGAACGCTCTGTATATTAAGATGCTAGCCGTCGTCGGCGTCGATCGTCCAAATGTTGTAGTTGCTACGCCGGCGGTCCAGGTTCGATTCCCGGCCGATGCAGATTTTTTTAAATTTTAAATATTTAGCACGATTTAGCATTTCTACATTTTGATAGCCTAATGGTGATGATTGAGGTCGAGGTTAATGTAGGGCCTGGTCTTTTTAGTTTTGTTTATTAAATGTTATAATAGGGCCGTCCATGTAGCTTTTCCAAAATAATCCGAAATTTTAATTGACGAGTTCCATGATTTATGTAATTTGCAATAATTATTTACAAATGTTGGTTAAAAGCAACAAGAATGTATTCCGTATTTATTCTTTTGCTAACCAGCATTACTAACCACCATGTTAACTTTACATTAGGTGGATGGTATTTGATAGTCCAAGAGTAAGTCATTTATTCAATTTAAAATTACATCATTTTACGAAAATCCCGAGGAAAACCCTATCATCAAAAATACATAATTTAATGCTCGGTTTAATGGCCTCGGCTCCATGTACACACGCAGCTTTGCCGGCCAGAAATTTTACCACATGGGCGGATGCGTGATCAACGAGATACGAAGAATCGTATACAACTATTAGTAGGGAAATTTTTTGAGACTTAGCTCGCATTCAGAAGCACGACTTTGAATTCGACTCATACCAAGGCTCATACTCAATAGCACTGATCCTTGAACTTCGATTGGCGAAGGTTTGACATCGCTGTCTCTTTTCGTTCTTGAGTTAGATGAGGAACAGACATGGCAAGTTGCCCCTCAATATTTTCTCAAATATGAGGCTGGTTTGCGGATGTTCATTTTGTTTTGATAATAAAAATTGTAGAACTAATTGTTAGTTCTTCTTTCTTATTCTCAAATGGGCAGAAACAAATGTGCAATATCAGTGAAGGAATCTCGGAAAAAATGGTGCAATAGTTGTGCAATGTGCACAATATTGTGCAATATTAGGACAATTTATGCAATATTATTGCAGTACGTGGTACTTCAGATATTGGGGTTGGTTCTTTTTGCACTTTATTGTAAAAAATTTCTGTTTTAACATATTCAAAATCCCCATTAATCCCAGCCCAGTCAAATCCAAGATGGCGGCTGAATTTTGAATTTTTCATTTAAAAATTTATAAATTTATTTCAATGAAATTTGACCAAAATGTTTAAATACAAAGATCGATATACAGATATACATATAAAAAGTAAGTAAAAAAGAATCGGGTAGGAATTTTGAAAAAATTTGCAAAATCGGAAAGGGCATAACCCAAAACCTAATGAAAGACATGCCACCCGTTGTTGTAACTCGTATGGTTTCTGAGAAAAAAATTAAAGAAGAAATGCAAATTTCACCACTTCTTTGAGGATGACTCCCAAACGAAACATGTTGGCCTCGGTTTATGTGGGAAAAGTGCTTGTTTTGATCCCCTCTACCATCCAATTTTTTTTACATACTTATATGTAACACCCTGTAGGAGATTAATTTTATTCTATTGTCCAACGAACTAGGATTTAATTACTAAACCTGGAGTTAGTTATGTTTTTAATCATGGTTGGAAAGCACATCATTTAACCCCAGAATATTATGTTACTCATATTGTGAATTATATTGATATTATACCTACCTATTAGCGCGCGGAACGCGAATGTGAAAACGTAAAACGGATAAACCGAGAGTAGGAGGTTTAGTAAAATACCTCCAATTAAAGGTTATTTTTGGCCCTTTTGTTGAGGTGCAAAAAAAATGCGGCGGCATGGGGGAGCAAGAGGTGCCTGATTTTTGCATAAACGCTTTTTATGGAAAGTAGGAAGGAGATTTATAGCAATTAATTCTCCCTGTGCAGTTTTAATTAATAATGAATGAATGTGAATAAATCGACAGGAAATGCCTGACTTCTATGATTCACTGGGTAGATAGCTGAATATATAAATATTTATTAGTACCCATCTAAAGTGATAATTAGAATTGTTGCGGTCATTTAATCCAATCAGTATTCTCAGTAGTGATTGCAGTTGCTATTTTTATAGTCTGTTTACATTTCTGGAATGTAGCATCATTATCCATGACTGACATCATTACTTTATTGATTTTTATATTTATATTATTCAAAAGGTTAGCTTGAATGCCATCATTCAGCCTAATCTCTGTCAAATTATAACACCTCAAAATGAGATGATTCAGCTACATAACTATCTAAGTACCTCAACTTGAAAGTGGACAAGTTTGACAACAAAAAGGAATGAACCTCCCAATGCACAATAAACACAGATGGTTTTTTTATTTATTATATTTATGACTCGTTTGTCCTATTGTATTTTGTTTTTGATGTAAGCTAGATAAATGAGATGAAATTTATAATGGGCCCACAATATCATCATTGTGCTATTCTAAAAATATACATTCACATACATATTTAGAGTAGGTATACTGATACCACTTTAATGTTAAGCCTGCATACAATCATTGTATTTATAATACAATGATACAATGATGTCTGTTGGTTTTTTCGTCATACTGAAATGCTGAAGATTATCAAAAAATGTAAATGGTGATCCCTTCTGCAACTTACGTATTTCTTTGTTCTAGGATGAAGAATATAGGAAATCAGTTAGGCCATATCAACAACGTGAAGTAACGGAAAAAGAAATACTAACGCAAATGTTGACACCTGAAGTTATGGCAGCGTTAAGTATCGGTCTCCATGTTGGACGCATCAAGCAGGCCATTAAAGAAAAATTGGAACAAACTGGAATAGGCTTTGCGACACCCGATGCTGTAATCGAGGCAGCGTTAAATGTTCAGTTGGACGAGGACGAATCTTCAGATGCCCATGTATCGCAAGAGGTTACCCAAATTTTAGCGGAAGCCGTTAATAGAACTCTAAATCATAATGAGCAAGCTCAACAAGATGTGAAAATGGGTTCTCCGGCCGAAACACCACCTCATCCTCCCTCACCGAAGAACGAACAAAGCAATACAAATTCAGACAAATCTCTTACTTTGGAAGAGGAAAATAGGTTATTAAAGGAAGCTAGGCTGTGTAAAATTTGTATGGACAATGAGGTGGGCATTGTTTTTTTACCGTGTGGACATTTAGCCACTTGTTTTAATTGCGCACCAAATTTAGAAGATTGTCCTGTTTGTAGATCTACCATAAAAGCAACAGTTAGAACGTTTTTATCCTAACATAGTCACTTTTAGACAATGATATTGTGGTGTTTAAATATTTATTGAATTAAAGGTTTATTTATGTTATTGTAATATTATATACGCAGCAATTCATAACCACTGACTTTTATATTAGGAAGTTTTTCTTATATAAAAATAACACACCTTGTCCAAATTGGTATATTTTTAAACTAAATCTATTTTATACTAGATATATGTATAGGCATGATACCAAACTTGTCACAAGAAAATCATTTTTCACCTGTCTGTTCTTTTCCTTATCTATTGTATGAGTTACACACGAAATATGTTGTATGTGGTATGTCACACTTTTTACAAAATAGCAAATTCAATCCTTGAAATTATGTCAAAACATGTAACACATAATTAAACTTTTTCCAAAAGTGTTTTTCAGGTGTTTAATTCCTATTGCTGTCTATCTAAACAAGCAGTACGAAGGCCCTGTGAGTTATACACATTGGAAATATTTACAAAGAAGGAATTTTTATTTTATCTCTTAAAAAGTAATTTAGATAAAGATGCCTCTTACAAAAACTTTCATTTTTTCCTTAAATCCTATACCTACTGTGATAATTGTCACAAAATACTAAACACTACACTTTTTTCAAAATATTTAGGTGAGAAAAGAGGCATTTATAACAATCGTTACTATGAAGAAGATTTTGAGGGATCTTTCAAAGTATTTCTGAAACCAAAAAGTCGCAAACTATGAGCATAAAAGTGAAATCTAAGTACAACACTGTCGTTTCAATTTAGTGGGCGGGGATTTTTTCCAATTGTCTCGGAAACCAAAGAGGCACAATCAAAATACTACGCACACCCGTTGATTTAAATACCTATTAAAAAAGTTTCTATTTTGGAACATAACCCCCATAGCATGGTATTAATGCAAACCAAAAAGGTACAAATGGTGAGCACACTTAATCACAATTTAGACAGTAGTATTTTTCTTAACACACAAAAATGGATTCATTTTTGGGCTAATGGGGTGGAGGGGCTAAATGAGCGTATCTGTCTGTACGATATTATTTATTAGTTTTCATGCTCCACAACAGATAAAAACCATCATCAACTACAGTGGAGCTGGAGCAGTTCACAAATAAATACATAGATATTAGATATTCTTTGTGTTCTTTAACTTAATGGACTAAATCATAGTGTAAATAATATACACTATAACCATATAAAAATTAATAATGAGTGACAGCTCCTGGTCTTTCAAGATGGGTGGTCTGCACAAACCTCGTGTTTAATTTAATAATAATATCGCGTTAATAAAAATGTACAATTTTTCTTAAAAATGCACCAGTATGTTCACTTTTAACAAAAAGATCAATCTAATTCCAATTAAATATTTTCATCTACTGCACTATTGTATTGCATCTACATCACGATTAAAAAAAAGATGATAGGTACACTATTTTTAAGTTTATGACAATCTAAAAACCTTTAAGTAAGGATATTCCTGTCGCCAATTTTGATATAAATATGTTACCAAAATTTCTACAAAGCAGTACCTATACAGGGTGATTCCTATAGTACCTGCCACCGTTTGGGAGCGTATAGGGGGTGCCTAGGGGAAGTCTTTTCATATAGGACACTTGGGGTCGGAAATCCAAAATAAGGGCGCCAGAACCAAATTTATCTTCTGGAATTTCACGCCTGTATGTAGGCAACCCAACCGACCGACGTTTCGCGCGGAGCGATGCAGAGCGAGTTAGCGCGAGGAAGCGACATGGGAGGGAAGGAGGGAAAACGACAGTCAAAAGCAATAACGTTTACAAGTGTTCAACGTGGCCACCGTTGTTCTCAATGCACTTCCTACATCTAGCCAACCACTCCCCTCGAACTCGCGTGAAGACTCCTATGTCCTGGCGAACAGCCTCTCCGGCCATGACGACGCGCGCAATTAAGTCCTCTTCGGATTCGACGGGAGTCTCGTAGACGTGCGCTTCCATCACACCCCACAAGTAAAAATCTAATGGGGTGATGTCGGGCGAGCGGGCAGGCCACTCCACCGCACCTCCACGGCCGATCCATCTGTCCGGATAGGTTTGGTCCAAGTGTTCCCTCACCTGCCGCCCGTAGTGAGCAGGGCACCCATCGTGCTGGAACCAGTGGTCCCAGTACAAGTTCACTGGAACATCCATTAAAAGTTCTGGTAGCACCTCGCGCAGGAAAATCAGGTAATTATGGGCATTTAGACGCGGAGGGAGGATGTAAGGCCCCAGTAGGTTGTCCCCCAGGATTCCAGTCCAAACGTTTAAAGAAAACTTGTCCTGGTATCCTCGCGTAAACGTTTCATGAGGATTGTGCTCCGTCCAGTAGTGGCTGTTACGAGGATTGAAGGTCCCCTCTCTTGAGAATCCTTTCTCGTCAGTAACTAGCACGCTCCTCAGAAAGTTCGGATTAGCTTCTTCCTCCTGGACGACTAAGTTGCAAAATTCCAGCCTCCTTTCATGGTCACTCGGCCGTAACTCTTACACTTTCTTAAACTTATAGGGGTGTAAGTTGTTGTTGTTGGCGATGTTCCACACTGTGTGTTGACTACAACCCACCTGATCTGCTACAAGTCGAGTGCTAGTACGCGGGTTTGCCTCGAAACGTTCCAACACATCCTCCTCTAAGGCATTTACCAACGGGCGATCGCGATCACGGGCGCTAGTGGGCTGCGAAATAGGAGGAGGTCGGTGTAAACAAACAAACTTTTCGAAATGGGTGCTTAAATGACCCAAGTATCGATGTGCATCACGAATCTGTGTGTAAAGTTAAGCCTCCGTCAGCTTACCTGCAATTGCCCTGTCTCGCACAGTCGGAAGTGAACTTCTTGAAAGACCTGTCTGCAGGGTAACTGACGGTTTGGATACCGCTCAGCGTACGCTCGTCGTGCAGCTCGTGCGTTACCATTTGCCAATCCGTACATGAAGTGCATGTCCGCGTATTCCGTGTTAGTAAAACGTGCCATAGTGTTTATTCACTTGATACGCGTCGTTGCAGACGGGATTTCGTGGGTTTAAACAAAATTCTGATCAAGTGTCAGCCACACATCGCCGCCTGAGATCGCTCCGTGTGCACCGCCGGCCGGTTGGGTTGCCTACCTACAGGCGCGAAATTCCAGAAAGTAAATTTGGCTCTGGCACCCTTATTTTAGATTTCCGACCCCAAGTGTCCTATATCAAAATACTCCCCTACGCACCACCTACACGCTCCCAAACGGTGGCAGGTACTATAGGAATCACCCTGTATAGTCAAGTCTAGTACACGGTCGCATGTTGCAAATTGATTGTGACATTATCGTCAGTTTACCTGAAAAGTGAGTGAACTTCCAAAGGCGACTCGGACGTCAGTCCTTTTTTGATCACCCGTTATAACCTTGGAAAAGACTCAATGGAGACCGGACTATTGGAGATATTCATAGTATACTATTATTTATTATTATCATTACTATTCCTACCTCTCTTGCTGAATACAATAGCTGTAACTGTAACATCGATTCTTATACGAATTGTATGCTATTTTTTTTTACCAGAAAAACAATACAAACGATATGAGTACATTAAAATTATTTTAAATTATTGCATATCTTTGTTGAAACAAAAATTTTAACTAAACATGTAGATTAAACCGGATTTGAAAAATTTTAAAAATATTTTGAGTGGACTACTATGTAGATAGATTCTTTCCATAAATTGAATCTCTAAATCTTTGTTTTAATAAAATTTATTCGTTTCATCACATATTAACTATTTTCAGATGTTACAGAAGAAGAAGGGAAAAGCTTGGGTATGATTGATACCTCTTCTTAAAATACCATTAAAACTTATTCTTACAAATACAAGTTTTAGTTTTAGTGAAAAACATTATTTAATATAAAATTTGTTGCCGAAACTTGAACGCACGTATTAATAGTGATTTTTTTGCCCGAGTATGTAGGGTTTTTTAGATCCTGGCCCCTGGGTGAAGATGTCAGGAAACAAGCGCATGTAACAAATCACTGAATATATTTCTGTGGACAGAATACGGCTTAAATTTTAATAACATTAATTTAGGGTTCCACTCATAGCTCACCCGCAATTAGCATTTTGGTGCATTTCGCTAAAAATAGTACTCAATTTTTGAGGCACTTATTCTCACAACTCGGGCTTTCATTGGCAACACGAGAAAGAGAGTCCGCGATTTGAGCTTCAAGAAACTATCGGGCGCGCGAAGTCGACTGCCCCTCGAAGACGCGGGCCTTGCAAAAGGTGGTGAATTTCGAAAAAACAAAATTCCATGACGCAGGAGTTATTACGCGTTTACCAGATCGTTCCGACGATACCAATTTGCCCAAAACTGTAGAAAAAGATAGGAAAAAAACGCAACATCGCCAGGCTCGGTGATGTCGCCAAACTCACATCATGTAGCCCCGTGCCTATAAAGTGTTAATTACACGGCTCCGGTGGATAGACTGCTCGTCTTTCTTGAAACTTGAAACAAATAAATTTGTAAAAATGCACTAAAAACAAACTAGAAGAAACCAATTGAAAGGAATTGCTGCCACACGGTTAAAATTAATCTAGTAATAATTTTAATGTAAAACTCAGAGACATTGTCTCTGGTAAAACTGCAAGTATTTTTCCTGTTATCTGCATACATATAAAACCAATTTAATATCCTGAGGGTCAGTGGTCAGATCAGGATAATGGATCAGGTTAATTTAATGATGTTTGGGTTGCATAAAATTAGGCTGAAAAATCACCGACCACCACCAAATTCTATTTTAATTTCCCAAAAATATCAAGGGCGGACACCGATGCGCAGCAAGTGAATTTTTGATCATTTTGTTGCAAAAAATATCGTTGTATTTACGATTTCCAATACAATGCTGGTAATACCAAAAAAGGCACAATCTATATAGGTACTACTTGGAATCTAGTTTGTAGATTTCAATAGGTGATCGACATTTTTTAATATAAATTAATCATAATGGTTATTTTTTGGTTATTTGCAACATTTTCAAATAACTACATGCGAAATTAGATGTCTGACTATAGTAGTAGGCGGAAGATACTTTGCTGACCCGAAGAACCAACCTTCGCATGCGTATAACTTTTGTTTGTAAAAAACTGTTTGGGAATTTTGTTCCTTAACAAATTAAGTATGTACACAACAAATTTCGTGGAATTCTCTCCATTTTCGTTGTCCGCTCAAGAATTATGGCGGAATTTTGTTTAAGAATGTTCAGATTCGTAATTTTCATGTTCAAAAACCCCCAGATACCAAATTTCATCGAAAAGCCAGTGCGCTGCTATAAGTGGATCGCGGACGCGCACGAGCTGCATATAGAAATATGATTTACTCGAAAACGGTAAGACCTATCACTAAAATTCTTTCACCAAAAACTTTTGG